TTGCAGGGATCCAGCAGAGATTAAGCAGATTTGTGACAGAGAAATCCCATGAGAGCTTAATAAATTGGCAAACATCACCTCTTTCCCCAGTCAGGAAGCCCCAGTTTTGGGGATAGTGTTGGTCCTATTCATAGCACAAGCACAGGTTTCAGCCTTGGAAGCAGGACCCGGCTATATTTGGAGCTGGATTTATCCACAGGCACTCTGCACACACATCAGCTGGGCTGTCTAGCAGCAAAATCCTGGTCATTAAGTAATCCTACAGTAGAAGGTAGTTTCAATTCCCACCCTCATTCAGCTTCTCACCCAAGAAAATGTCCAATAATGAAAATTGGGATTTTTTGCTCTGGGGGCACCAGCAACTCCCATCCCTTCCCAGTACAGGGCTGGGATGGGAGCTGGCTCCTTGCAGTGCTCATGGTCAGTAGTTATTTTAGCTCATGTCAGGGCAATGACAGCAACAGGCAGGACAGGGATTTTGAGGCGTTTAAAGGCAGCAAGGGGGAGTTTCTGACTTTGGGGCTCTCTCTGTGCTCAGATTTGCCTGTTGCAAATACCAGTAGTTGTGACATTCCATGAAACATCAGAATCCTTGTGATGGGAAGCACCAGGCATTCCTGAAGCAGCACCCGGGGGAACTAATGAGGCCCTAATGTGATTAGTGTGACCCACCACAGGTATCATGTCAAACCCTGGGATGTGGGACCCTAAAACCAGGGCACATCCTAATCGCGGCTGACCCGGAGCGCTTGTTCTGGCAGTAAAGGGTGAGATGTCCCAGATGGCCCAGAGTGCGTGGGAGCAGGTAGGGAGCCAAAACAGGGTCTCCTGTGTTCAGGGAGAGGGTGGAGAGAGGCTTTGAGGGATCACCAGCCCCTCTCCCCCTGCCCACAGGCAGCTCCAGCTTTCTCCCTCCTGTGCCGCCCTCTCCAGATGCCTCTGTTTTCTGGCAGATAGGATTAAGCCTGACCTTCCGCCCCATCTCAGAGAGAGCCAAGCCTCTTTCGGATCTAATTATTTTCCATTTTTGTTTAATTGTGCACATCCTGCTGCTGGCTGAGAGGGAGAGCAGCTCCTGCCCAGGCTGGGGCAGAGAAGAGCACTCAGTCCCTTACCAGCCACAGGCTTTTGGGTCAGTGCTCCATCTTTTGGGGTTGTGGTTTAAACCCCCAAATCTCTTGGAGGTCTGAGACAAGGTTCCAAGGAAGCAGCTCTGGCACCATCCTGTGTTTCTCCAGTGATGACCTTCACACTCAGCTCTCCCCCATGCAAGGAAAAGGGAGTCCAGCCATGGCCACCTGCCTCCCCCATCCTCCTCCTCCTCCTCCTCTCGGCACTCAGTTCACACCAGGCTCTGCTTCCTCTGTGTGCGTTTGGCTCCTATGTACAAGTGGCACTGACTTCTTTGAGCAGGGCATTGCAGGCCTGTTTTTAATGATCTTTGATTTCTCAGTGTATCCCAGTTGTTGCAGAATCCCAGCTGGTGCCAGGGTTGGGTTTGGCTGTGCCAGCGTGGAAGCACTGCCAAACCACCCCACCGGGGTGATGAGGGGATGGGTGACATCCCTCTCTGCAGGAGGATGGGAGAAAATAGGACACATTTTCAGCCCACCCACTGGCCAAGAGAGAGGGGACAGATCAATCAGATTAATCCCAACAGGAAGCTTTGCCTGTAGCACTGACATCTGCATATGGAAAATATGGAGGTGCTCTGGTGGACCTTGAGTCCCACTACGCTTGTGTACATTTTACAGCTTCTCTTAGGCTGAGCTTTGCTTTCCCAAATCCCATATTTTAGCACCAAAACAACCTCACAGCATTCCCACGGGCACGGGAGCACACCCAGAGTACCAAAAAGTCACCTCTGCTGCAGCAAAGCAGTTCCTTCCCCACCAAAGCTGTGCCATGTTGTGTCCCGTGCTCCTTTCGCCACGAGACGTCCCGGGCACGCCGTCGGCTGGCTCAGGAAGCAGCTCTGGAGGAGGGGTAGGTCTGTGGAGAAGTAAATACCACTGCAGAAAGTTCCAGTGAGAGCTGCTGGCGTTTCCAGCAAGCCATCTAGTGGCTTCCTGTTAAAATGGTTGCACACCTTGGAACTGGGAAGGCGAAGCTGGAAGGGCGAGTGCTGCTCACCACCGCCGTTGTGCTCGGGAACTGACATGCAGGGTTTGGTCCTAATTGGGAAAAGGCCCTACTGTAAGAGCCTTCTTCTGGGTCAGGGGGTGCTGGGGTGGTGGGAGGGGTGGGTCAGCTGCTGGCCAGCAGCATGGGTCGTATGGAATCACAGAATCATGGAATATCCTCAGCTAGGAGTTGGACAAGGATCATCAAGTTAAACTCCTGGGTCTTCCCAAGAGCAACCCTGAACCCAGGGAAGTGGTCACAGCACCAAACCTACCAGAGCTTGAGGAGTGTTTGGACAAGGCTCTCAGGTACATGGTGGGATTGATCCTTGGGAGTATCCTGTGCAGGGCCAGGAGCTGGACTCAGTGATCCTTATGGGTCCCCTCCAACTTGGGATATTCTATATTCTATGATTCTGTTCTGTGATGTGTGATCCTACAGGTGGA